AAGTATTAAATGTGATAAATTTAATGGTTTTTAATATAAACATTTAATTGTTTCATTTTTTTCTCATATTGTGGGAGCTTTATTTGATTATTTGAAGATACAGACCCGTCGAAATGAGCTCCTCTAACCAAATTCATATAAATAAATAAATAAATACTGGTGATTTTACAGTGGGAGCTTTATTCGATGGTTAAATTGTCCTGTCGATATGCGCTCCCTCCAGTCTGAGCCTGTTTGAGCAGAAAACGACGTCCAAACTGTAAAGCAAAAATAAGAAAATGAAAAAAATTACAGTTTTCTTCATTATTTGTCTCCAAAACCAAAATGAAAAAACAGAAAATGATTCGATTTTTTCAGTTTTTGATTTTGTGTTTAAATGAAAAATGGAAAAAAAAAAAAAGGATAACGGACTGAACCAGACCAGGACTGAGACCAGGAATTGGACCGGGCCTGAGTCTGGAACCAGGACCAAGACTGAGACCGGGACCAGACCAGGACCAGACCGTGGTTGAGACCAGGACTGAGACTGGGACTGAGACCAGGACTGAGACCGGGACTGACATGGGACTGAGACCGGGACCAGACCAGGACTGAGACTGGAACCAGACCAGGACTAGACTGTGATTGAGACCGGGGCTGAGTCCGGGATCAGTCCGGAACCAGACTGGGACCAGACCAGGACTGATACCAGGACTGAGACCAAGACCAGACCAGGACCGAGACCGTGATTGAGCCCGGGACTGAGACCAGGATTTAGACTTGGACCAGACCAGGACTGAGACCGGAACTGAGACCAGGACCAGACCGGGACCAGACTGGGACTGAGACCGGTTTGAGACCGGGACTGGGACCAAGACTGAGCCCGGGACTGAGACCAGGACTGTAGACCGGGACTGAAAATGGTTTAGACCTGTTTTAGTCCTGTTTTAGTCCTGGTTCAGTCCTTTATCCATTTTTTCCATTTTTCATTTAAACACAAAATCAAAAACTAAAAAAAAACCAAATCCTTATCCGTTTTTTCTTTTCAGTTTTGGAGACAAACAACGAAGAAAACAGTTTTTTTTAATTCATTTTCTTATTTTTACTTTTATTTTGAAAACCAAACAAACGAACGAAACGACACACGGACTCAAACCAGGCTCCACCTTTACCTTTTCTCTCTGCGGAAATTAAAACTGTGTGAAATAAAAAAAAAAAACGAAAAGGCACCAACCCGGACGTCTGCACGTTATCGATTTTACACTTTCCCCACAAACGACTCTGATTACAAAACCATTCCGTCGTGTTTTTTTTTTTCGTGAGCTGCCTCGTCTCCCGAAACGAAGAGACGAATAAAAGTTTATGCAGAAGGTGAACGGGGGGCGACTCCGAACTTGGCACATTCCACAAAAAAACGTTTATCTCCAAAAGTTAGAAAGCGGCGCACAGAAAATCCAGCTAGAAAGATTAAGATTTTATACACATTTACAAAGAGTTCACGTTTTACGGCGTCGGAAAAGTTCTTCGTCGACTTCTCCGCGCGAAAAGTACATCGGGATCAGGAGTCCGTAAAAGTCGAGATCCTGCAACAAAGGAATTTTCGAGGAATTGTTTTTTGATTTCAGCAGTTTCGGAGACAATTGTGCAATTCCAAAAATCGGGCAAAATGTCAGAAACGGTTTTGGTCGGTGAAGCAGCTTTTGAAATTCTTGCATCAGATCTCGTTCTTTGTTCGGGTCCTGCGGATCTTCACACACTTTGACTCGTGATCGGAATTTTTATTTTTAAGATGGATTCATACCAAAATATAAAAACGTTGACGATAAACCTCAAGGATTTATCGAAAAATCTCCCAAAATCTGCGAAACATTTCAGTCAATGAAAATGATCAAATATTTTAAGGTTGTTTTTTTTTTTTTTCTAAATTACGTTTAAGAACAAGTGTCGCCTCTCCACACACCTGACTCATAATATATTACCAGTGTTTTAGACCTGGGTCAGTTCTCGTTTAGTCCTGGTTTAGTCATTGTTTAGTCCTGATTTAGACCTGGTTTAGTTTAGTTCTGGTTTAGACCTGGTTTAGTTCTGGTTTAGTCCTGTTTCAGTTCTGGTTTAGTCCTGGTTCAGACCTGGTTTAGACCTGGTTCAGACCTGGTTTAGTCCTGGTTTAGACCTGGTTCAGTCCTGGTTTAGACCTGGTTCAGTCCTGGTTTAGACCTGGTTTAGACCTGGTTTAGTCCTGGTTCAGACCTGGTTTAGTCCTGGTTTAGACCTGGTTTAGACCTGGTTCAGTTCTGGTTCAGTTTTGGTTTAGACCTGGTTTAGACCTGGTTTAGTCCTGGTTCAGTCCTGGTTTAGTCCTGGTTTAGTCCTGGTTCAGTCCTGGTTTAGTCCTGGTTTAGTCCTGGTTTAGTCCTGGTTTCAGTCCTGGTTCAGTCCTGGTTCAGTTCTGGTTCAGTCCTGGTTTAGTCCTGGTTCAGTCCTGGTTTAGTCCTGGTTCAGTCCTGGTTTCAGTCCTGGTTCAGTCCTGGTGTTTAGTCCTGGTTTAGTCCTGGTTCAGTCCTGGTTCAGTCCTGGTTCAGTCCTGGTTTAGTCCTGGTTTAATCCACCAAATTAAGACGATTTTGGAGAAACGTCTAAACTTTTCACGTGCAGGTTTTAAAGGTTTTTATTTCTGGACTCGTATAAACACGACTTGTCACTTGTGAAATGTTTCCAGATCATATTTTAACCCTGACAGTGTCGCTCGCTCTGATTGGACGGAGCTCAGAGAAACACAGAGTGACGTTTAAAATCAGAACATTCATTTTTGACTTTTTAAAAATTGGGTTAAAAAGTGATGAGTGAGTCATATTTTTCATACATTTTTTTACAATTTTTAAGTACAATTTTGGAAGCAGCACATTTTCTGCTTTTGGGTTGACGTTAGTTCAAACTGTGTTGTGGAAGAAAACAGGAAATACAACTACACTTTCATGTTCCGCAGTGGAGCTTTAATGAAACGTCTCTTTTCATCACTTTGAGCACCTTGAGTTTTTACGCTTTTTGGCACATTTTAATTTGAACGGTGAAACTGAACAGCTCCGACGGGCTGTGAGCAAGAAAACGGAGCAGTTTCTCTGGATTATTTTGGTATGAATCCGTCGTACAAAACAAAATTCAAAATCAAATCAGTTTCTTTTTACTTTACAGAACTTTTAAAGGCCCATATTACGTTATTTTCTGATCTACTTTTCTGTTCTAATGTCGTTTCCTCGTCGCAAACAGACCTGGAGTTGTGTTTTGTTTCGTTCACACATGTTTGACACACAAAATCTGCATATTTAGATTTAGTTCTCTCAAAGTGTTGCACCTTGTGATGTCATATGATAACACAGGAAGTGCTCCATTGTGTTTTTAAAGCCCTTCCAGACCAACATGTTTTGTATAACCGCACATAACTTTCCAACCAGAAAAGACAGAAGCTTACTTTTTTTACTCTTGAAAAGCTGAGACTGTGGCTTTCCGAACAGATTTCCAACATTATCATGATGACGTAGGGAAAACGAGTGTCCAATAGGAGCTTTGTTTTGGTCCAAACTCAGTCGCTCTGGCCATTTTGATTGGGCCAAACTTTGCCAAAGAGTGTAGTGAGTCAAAATGGTCGATGCTCTGAGCGTCTGTGTTTGTAACAATTGAAAAAGTCGCTCTAAGTGCAGAGATTTCTCAAATAAATGGAAAATTACGCATCTTGGTCTTGCTATTTTTATTTTCTGGTTTATTTCAGTCCAAATCCAAATGTAATAAACCCCATGGAAATGCAGGAAGTGATGTGTCTCGGTGTCCTGGACCTGACACGAACTGTTTCCACGACCTGCAACAGTCAAGTCACAAGGCCATTGCCCATCTTTTTTTGTTGTTTTTTTTTTTGTTTTGAGGCAATAAGGAGATTTATTTAATTTGTATTTAGATGAACTGTCAACAAAGCTTAAAACGTCTCGCTCTGTGCTCAGGTAAATCCTCTGATGCGTAAGTTTGGTTCTCGTACAAATGATGTAAAGTTGTTATTGTTCAGATCTTATTGTTCACCGTTGTACAGCTCACCTCTGGACTCATTATAAAAAAGTCAGTTTGTGCAGCCTGCAGGTGTCTACAGTGAGGCTTTACGGAGCTTTTGAGGAGCCACGATGGACGAGTGCGACTGAGATGTTTGAAAACTCTGCAAGCTGCACTAAGAATTTTAATGTACAGTTTTATCTGCAGACTGAACAAATCAGACAATAAAACAATAATGTCACTCACAAATATAAGATTCAGTGCAATAAGATCAGTTCAGTATGTGTATCTTTTAAAAACATGAGTGTTTATTGTTTTGTATTGTCACTGTCCTTGTCTGTTTTAAAAGTGGATCATGAGTTTGGAATAAAGATGATGATAATTTTGGTTTATTTACAGACTTGATATTTTGCACTTTTGTAGCTAAGGCCTTAAATTAAGCTTTTTTTTTATGTCCAAAAAGTTGTTTAAACATGTTTGCTGCGTGTTTTGTCTGAAAAAGTGTGAATTTTATTTTCCGTTTTTTGTTTTTTTCTTCATTTGTATTTCTGGTCCTGTAGTTTTTATTACAACCATGTGACAAAACTCCAGCAGCAGATTATGAATTACAGGTTGTACTGAAAAAAAAAGATGTATAACACTTCATTAGGGGGTAAAAGTTGGAGTTTTAAATGCAAAATGAAGAAAAAAATCCAGGTGAGGACAAATGTATTAAAGTAGCTCTTAGGTCTGGAAGGTTTTTAAACTCCGCACATGTTCACTAGAATCTTTTGGATGATTTCAGCTCTGGAATTGTCGATCTCTAAAGAGCTAAAGATAAAAAAGTGGAAAATAGAGTTACTGAAACGTGTGAATGAAACAAAACACAACTCCAAGTCGGTTTTTGAGGAGATAACAACATTCTAACCTGGTTTAAAGCTCTCGAGAGTCAATTTTGCGTAATACGGGACTTTTAAACGATTTTTTCCCTTCGATGGGTCCAGCCTCTACACCTCAGACTCGGGTTTCTCCACGAGTTTGAGCGCCTCGTGCATTCCGGCCGCCGACAGTTTCCGGTTGATGTTCCTGTACCGGCACCTGAGGAGGTTACTGTAGGTGGTCCTCAGGTCGCGGTTGAAGAAGGCGTAGATGAACGGGTTGATGAGCGAGTTGGCGTATCCCAACCAGAGCAGGGTCCTCTCCAGCCACAGGGGCACGCAGCTGCACTCCACGCCGCACACGAAGGGCCGCGCCGTCGACACGATGAAGAACGGCAGCCAGCAGAACGTGAACGCCCCCACCACGATGCCCAGCGTGGCGGCCGCTTTCTGCTCGCGCTTGAAGATGGACTGGTTCTTCCGTTTGCGCCGCTGGTGGTGCTCCCCGCTCTTCAGGAGTCGCGACACTCGGTTCGTGCATTCTTCCTCGACTTCCCGCTGGAGTTTCAACGCCGCCGACACGCAGTCCAAGCTCTCCTCCTCTTCGTCCTCCGCGTCCCCCTCGTCGTCGCGCTCCGCCTCGGTCCCCTCGACGCTGGCGGTGTCCCCGGACTCGGTTTTGGCGCCGCGGGAGGTGGCGGAGTCTCCGTCCCTGGGGAAGCCGGTGATGGTGTGTTTGGCGGCGCTGAGCTTGGCGGCGCGGTAGATCCGGTAGTACATGATGAGCATGACGGACATGGGGATGTAGAAGGCGACGGCGGTGGAGTAGACGGTGTAGCCGAAGTCCTGGCTGATGAGGCAGACGCGACCGTCGTTCACGTTCTGCGCCCAAGCCGAACAGGGGCGGCAGGGTGATGGACGCCGACAGGAGCCACACCGACAGGATCATCTTGGCCATGCAGCAGCCGTTCTGACGCACCGGGTACGTCAGGGGTTTGGTGATGCCCAGGTACCTACGAGACACAGAGGAGACAACAGACGGTTTACAGTCGAACATAGACGAGGGTCCAAAGTAGGGATGGGCATGAGTAATCGATTAATTGATAATTGATCATTAAGAATTTCATCGATTACGTTAATTTTACTCGACAAACCGAATGTATGTTTGTGTGTCGTGACCAAACAGGTGTGTACATGTGTCTCTGCATCAGAAGGAGCGAGACACAAACAGTGGGTCAGTCTGTAACGAACCGAAGCACAAATGTGGATTTAACCAGGATTTGTAGAAGAAATTCCACACTTTCCGTTGCGTTGGGACAAGTGTGAGTCCATGTGCACAGTGGATAAAGCAGCACATATGTTTCTGTGTCCAGTGGGAAAAAGTTTTTCCAGGTGAGAGTCGCTCAATGTGGATGACGAGGCCCCGCCCCCCTCCCCCCGTACGCTGTCCTGGTTTTGACAAACACAAATCTGGTCACACTGACCTGTATTCACCTGAGTCATGTCTTTTAATCCAACACAAGTTGAACCACATCAGCGACACAAGAGCTGGAGTTTTATCTTCACTTAGTTTATGTAAATTAGTGATGTGGTTTTAAGTTTTGTTTCTGTGAGATTTGAACAAAACTGAATTAAACACATTATAATGTCAAACAGCTGATGTGGATCTAGAGTCGTTATGTTTATATGTCGTAAAGTTGAATTTATTTATGCAGATTAGTGCAGATAGTAATAATAATGATGATCATTTTAATAGAAAAACGTTAATGATTAATCGATAATCGATCATTAATTCTTCCGACGATCGATTAAGAAAATTTCATCGAATGCCCGTCCCTAGTCCAAAGCCTGTCCCAACATCTCTTCATCACGACACGTCTCTGTTTAGTAGAGGTGAGGAGGTTCATGTATTCGTGCCAAACAGTTTTGGTTCAGGATCTTTGGTTCAGTGCAGAAACTCAGAAGGCAGAATTCAGTGTGTGTGTGTGTGTGTGTGTGTGTGTGTGTGTGTGTGTGTGTGTGTGTGTGTGTGTGTGTGTGTGTGTGTGTGAGTGTGTGTGGACTGTAACAGATAATGAGGAGCTGGTTTTCCCGTGAGAAACACACTTTGATAATAATAAGACAGAAGCACATATGCAGCACTTGGAAAAACTCTGCAACACTTTACTTTCGGCCACGACATGTGCAGCTACACGGAGGCTCGGCTCTTTAATATTCACATGAAACTCGTCCGTGATTGGGGCAGTGTTTCCTCCAGCGCTTTATAGTTAGAGCGACCGACTTGACGACATCTGCCCCTCGCCTTGACTACGTCCCTCTGAACCACGTGAATCCACCTCACAGAACTACGGTCGTCGCATCCTGGTTCTTACTTTTGCCTTTTGCCGTCATGGAAACTCCGCCCCCACTGTCGTCTTGTTTACAAGGAATTAATTTTTTGTAATATTTCATACATTTGTTGCTTGTTTGACAATATTTGATTTAACTCATTGGTTTTCAATAGGTGAGGCCTGCCTCCCCTGGGAGGCGCCAAAGAGCCACTGGAGAGAAGCAACACATGCAGACTCCACCAGGACTGAACCAGGACTGAACCAGGACTGAACCAGGATTAAACCAGGATTAAACCAGGATTAAAACCGGACTAAACCAGGACTAAACCAGGACTGAGTGTCTAGATGGGATCGGAGGTGCACCTGCATAGACTGTCAGGTGACCAGGACAGGCTCACAGAGTTAAAGCAGCCAGCGCCCAACGGAGCTTTGTGGACGCCTGCTCCATAGTCTCAGGGTTTTCTCTCTTTCAAGACCAAGATTAGTCCTGGTTCAGTCCTGGTTCAGTCCTGGTCTAGTCCTGGTCTAGTCCTGGTTTCCTACTGATGTTCAGTGATGGTAAAAGTCGCCTCAGTTCCTCCTGCATGAAGTTAGAAATGATTTGCTGTTGCAAAAATCATTTATGAATGCACACAAAAAAACTGTATTAAAAAATATATTGTCATTTATTATTGAAACTCAACGCTGCAGAAACACAAAAGATGCATTTCCTTCTGTGGCCTGTGTGTGTTTGTGTGTGTGTGTGTGTGTGTGTTTGTGTGTGGGGGGGGGGTTCGTCTGTTTTTACCTGCTGTCAGGTGAGACTCACATTGACCCAGTTTGAAAACCCACGATTTAACTTATTAGTTTCACCAAGCAGAACTTTGCATTTATTTTGCATTTGTATAATGTTAAAACAAATTAAAACACAAATAAACAACAAGAAAATGGTTTTGCATTTTGTTCCCAAACTGAACCGAAAATGAACTGAACCCTGACTTTTGTACCGTTCCACCTCTGCTGCTTTTACGACGTGTCTCTGTTTAGACGTGACGGGTTTTGGACACTATTCTGACACGTCATTTTTCTTTTTTTTTTGAGACTTATAACAGTCTACCCAGGTGTGTCTCTCCCTGGATGGAACTGATTTGGCCAAATAAATATGAGCCTAATGCGTAAACAATCAAATTTCATCATCACATGCAGGTTTGTCACATGTCTGGTTTTTGTGGCTGTGAGTGTCGTCTCATTGAGCTGCTTGAAGCACAAATGGCCCGTGCAGACTTAGTTTTAGATCAGATATTTTCTCCAAAAGCTGGTCTATGCTCTTTTTTAAAAGCAGAAAAGTGGAATGTTTAAAAAATACTAAAATTTACTCCGACAATGAAAAAGAAAAAAGTCGAAGTAGTGGAATGCTTGAAAAATAATGTTTATCCTGCTGTTTCGACAATTAGACGTCCACGTGTTCAGCTCCAGTCAAGGGAAACTCGGTTATGGGGCAAATTTAGAGCCAAGGTTCATATTGGGAATAGAGTTTTTTTGTTTTTTTAGGGACAAAATAGCAAAATAAAAACTCCAGGATCCTGTAAGAGCGAAAAGTCGAGACTCACTGCAGCAGTTACAGACAGACGAGCGATAATATTCCAATGTGAGTCAATAAGACGGCGGTGGAAGCTCCTCCTCATGTTACCGTTTGTCCATTTATACAAACAGTTGATGGAAAAACCCTTGAAAGTGCCCTTGAGCAAAGCGCTTCAGAGTGAGGCCATGTGCAGTCCCAGGTGGAGCAGGATCACGGCCAAAAGAGCACGGACGGTGTTTAGAGTTTGGCTCAAATCCAGAGCTCTTCACTCTGTACATAATATGACTGGATTTTAAGACTTAAAGAGCAGAAACAAAAGATTTTCTCTCTGCGCTGGGACATAAAACATTGTCCTTTTGCCTATAGTTTAATTCTTTATGCGTTCATGTGGTTTTAAGTCCCTTTAAACATATTTTTGGACATTTTGGACATTTCCAGCTGTTTTGGCGTCCTGGGAGAGTTTTCAGATTCAGAGCTGTAAACGTTTCATAGCAGATAAGTTGAAGAGCTGAAGGGTCTGGATGAAAGCAGAAGCGCCTCCACTAGGGTTATAACTTATTGAACTTTTTTTCCAAAATCAAAGTCCTGCATCATGATTGGATGAACTTTTTGGTATAATTGAAGAAACCAAACTCCATTTTCAACACTCTTTTAAAAATGTTCCCCGAAACAAAAAAAATATTAAATCCACATTACAGCCGATGATCTGAAACGTTAAACCGAGTTAAGTTCTCACAAGGATCATTACAAGTCAATGTGACTGAAAATGGATCAATAATAAGTTGTACTGCATCATAATAAACTGGAGTTTCACTTTCTGTTCTTGTTTCACTTTATAAACCAACAAACCAACACTGACAATCATCATTTTTGGACTTTTAGTTTCCTATTTTATCTGATCTTTACCCTGATCATGTGTTTTGTTCCTGTGTGATTAAAGAGAAAATTGCCTTTGGTTCTTTTATGATTGAAGATATGAACCTTCTAACTGTTTTATTCTGGTTGTTGTTTTAACAAAACTTCATTTTGAGTCCGGGGGAGACTTTTTTCAAAAATATGACCAACTGAAGGTCAATTCCTTTTATTATTAGAAAAAGTTCATTAAAATATGACACAGGGTGTAGAGGCTGTAAACTAATCTACACGTGAACTTCTGGATTGGAACACGGCAACACGAGTTTGTTTTCATACAGGTTCGACTGCTCCCTGCGCTCTTCCTCAGAAACTGTCAGGTATGAAAACAAACTCTTGGTCTGAAAAAAGAACCTCAGAACATAGTCGATGGACGTAAACGACAGTGTTCGGCTCAAGCCAAATGAAGCTCATCGAGGCCTGCAGTTACAGGAACCTTCCCCACCCCCAGACGTCAAGTGGAATTAAATAAAGACGATTTAACATGTTTTATCCATGTAAACCTTGATTCAGAATCATTATTTCCCTGTGAACTCAAAGAAGAATATTTTAATTATGAGCTATTTAATTCAGAACTAAAAATCATCATATAAACGTGGCCACTGAGGTGAAGAGAAATCTGATTAACATAAACGATCGATAATCGGTAAAATGAGAACGTGGTCGGTGGTTGTTCCGGTTTGTAAATAGTTTGTTTTGTAGATGTGAGTCGTTGCACAGTGGGACACGTGTGAGAGAAAAAAAAGAATACAACATAAATATAGAAACACTATAAATGATGATTCTGTTAAAGTTTCCTCTGAGGTTTAAGCAGATTAACACAGATTCATCTCTAAAGTGAAAAAAACATCCACAAAACACCACAGACACACAAATAACAAACTGTGACTTTTTTTTTTGCTGATCAACTGAGCAAATATGACACAGATCTTCTTCATTGGTTTTGTCACATTTTGAAATTGGGCACAATTTGAATTTCTGACATTTAGGCAAATGATTCACCCCGAGGAGCGTAGAGGCGAAAAAATCAGATTTCTGTCACTTCAGGCTGCAGTCTGAACACGAAGTCTGGTCACCACCACCATCACAGCCGTCCAATCAGATTTGTCTATTTCGGTTAATTTCATGGGTCAAGCAACATTTTCAACAGAATCACATTTCTCTCACGTCTGAATTTAACATTTCTATCGTTGATTCTACAAAATGTTTT